CCCCCTCCGGTTCCCTCCTCATCGAGCTGTCAAGCGCAGGGGGTTGGAGGGTATATAGTACACATGAAACAGGAAAAACTACGAAAAGTCAGCCAACCTTTTTGAGAAGGGGAATACAACCCCTCCCCCTCTTTACAACTTCCGTGAAACAAGAAAAATCAACTATCTGAATAAATTTTTCTCAGCCCAGATACGGCCCCCCTCCCCTGTTGGGGGATCTCCAACAAAAATGTGCTACGGAAGACTTCTGCCAAGTTGTTTTTTGCAACGTACACCGTCCAGGTATTGGAGGGCTTTAACACAGCAGTCGGATAACCTTCATGCTCTAACAACTAAAACCGCGGTTTTGGGGAAGGAAGTCGCGCTGTTGCGCTTTAGAGAACCCATATATGCAAAAAAAACATTACAAAAAGTAATGTCATTAAGAAGCAGTACCAAATAGTTTACATTAATTCGCAGATACGTAGATGATTCTATGCGTACATCTTAAACAGATGTGTAGGTTGGGTATGGACCTTTCTCAACTCTATGAACAATTTATCACAAGAATACTGAGTTATGGGCAAAAGTCAGACTCCAGACGGGACTCGAACCCGCACCACTCGCTTATCGGGCGGTTGCGTTCATACTGAAACATATCGTAGTAAAAACGATCTGTGGACACGTGTTGCATGGATGAACATTTACGAAAAAGGTAGCACAATTTCCACCACCTCTGCGTTGTGGCGTGAGGCTGCGTTCCATACTTTGAAGGGCATGCGTCCCACTAGCGTTAAGCGTGGCGGTAGCGTCAGGTATGGGCAGAGTATTGATCTCGTCTGCCAGCTCGCTGGCCAACAGGTTACAGCGGCATCGTTGTGTCAAAAGCCCCATGGGGGGGTCGTACTTTTGCTCTGGGGAGGGGGGTCGTATTAATTTTTTTATATGCACTATATGCATTTTGTACGCCCGTGGGATATACGTTGCATAGTAATCGTATACCCCCTCCCCCGACCCCGCTCCTCGAAACATTTTTCGCGGCCGACTGCTATGTTCTCATCGCTCGTCGTCGGACGAAGAACGTGGAGGCGGAGGAGGAAGTGGTCGTCGCCTGTAGCCATTTCGAGAGGGGAAGGGGGTCGTACTCACGATCGACCTCCTGAATTCGCAACATCCCAAATGCTGTACCCTGTCTAACCTATACCCTGCCAGCATCTGGAGGGAGAGTATTGGGGCGATAGAACGGGGGCTAGACAGCTGGTACTAGACTGTATGGGAAGAGAGGAGGGTGACATGACTTGCTGGTAGAGCGTAATTGGCGCCACTCGAGCTTGTGCTGCTACCCTGTATCGCGACATACTCGTCTATTCCGGACGCCTTGGACAAACCTGGTGCAACTTTGGCGACGGCTAGGTGGAATATTTATACTTTTCCAAGTCGCCACGACCCTGCTGAAGCCGAAACGTGGCCCGAAACGCTCGTGGACGCTGCCGCAAAGTATGAACGCAGCCTAATGCATGGTGCATCCGAAGGTGGGTTTGTTCGGTGTTTCTATAGGGCTTCTGCACGTTGGTCCATCTTGGACGCGGTCTTTGAGTAGAAGCGCTGAGCTGACCCATACCGATCAGTCTTCGGAACCCCCCCCCCCCCTACTGACTCTTACACGAGGTCTTCTGTTTTTTTTTCTTCAGTGGCGAGCTCTTTATTGTCTACCTTGGTGGTAGTATTTTAGAGGTTCGAACGAAATTTTTTATTACTTTTGAAACATAATAATTATGCGAAACAAAAACACATTTATATACACGTAACAAGAAGAATACCTATTCGAGGGGAACAAGTCCAAATATCACATTTAACGGGGTGAGGCAAAAATAAAAAGGAGAAAACGAGCAGTGCAATGTGAGGGCAGAAATGAGGATGTTGAGATGCTGATTTATAAATTTTAAATGTATAATATGACAGCGCATGTTAAGTGATGATCCACTAGCCATCGAAGGCCTGTCCAGGCTTATATTTTAATCTTTGGCATGAAATTTACAGAATAAAATCAATTAGGTATTGAAAATTGACCCTAGCACTTATGAAACCTATTCACTTATCGAATCAACAATGTATCCTCTCAAAAACAATCGGTCCCAGCTAGCGAAGTTCAATTAATGAGTGAGCTCATTTTCCTCGCGGTTGATCGTACGTTAGTCCTTGCGTATATTGTGGGAGTTGGGTGACGTCGAACGTTTCCAACTTAGCGCCATCAGGGGTAATCTGAAAGAAAGATGGGATAAAACTTGAACATAACAGTGAGTGTCGGTTAGGAGATCCACGCTGCGAAAATCAGGAGAGGATTCTAATCTAGCGAGGTGTACGGCGTAACTTCCCTGTCGCGGCAGAGACGCAAAGTATTTCCTAGGCAGCTGACTCAACAGAGAGAGCTGGTCGACTCGAGAGACGCAGACGCGATAGAGTGGACGCGCAGCAGGGCTGCTACTTGAGTGGATTGGATCCTGGTGCGAATGCAGCGTACGTTACTCCGCTTCAAACACCTATTTTGGCGCACTCATCCGCGACTGGGAATTAACCCTCTACCCTGTAGCAAAGACTGGCGGTCCGGTGCGTTACCTGGTAGATAGATGACGTCGCAGAACAAGTTAATGACATGTGTTGTGACGTAACACAAGCAGTAAAGAGAGGTTTCTTCTTTATTAACTTGTAAAGTCACATGTCGTCTTCTAACTCTCACCAGGTAAAGGCCCTGTGCTACATCTGATCCCAGGAGAGAGTTTCATAGCTGGGTGATTTCACATACAGCACCATTGAAGCACACTAGGTCCTGGTGCGAATGCCGCGCGGAGACATCGCATGCAACGTCGAGCCGCCGCAACGTGGATCTCTTGGCCACCTCTTGCACCTACTATTGGTTAGCGATTCTGTGTACAAAAACTTACTCGACACGCTATTCCCATAGCCGTCTTCTTGCCAGGTATATTCCAAATGGTGTACCGGTCAGGCGATAAGTAGACTGTGTCGAAGCCCTAAATTGCAACAGTTTGTACAATTTGTCGATGAAATATGTCAGTACAATTTCTAGGGTTCATCTGTGCTCGGAAAAATCGCAGAGTGCTCATGTATGTGGCGCGAAAATGGTGCTAAAGTGCTTGGAGGAGGAAACGGAGGAGCGGAAAGGGTAGTTGGAGCGGCAGAGTTACGCCCATCACTAGCTCGTCTACGCTCTCATAGGCGTTAAACAAGCCACGAAACAGCATCTCATTGAGAGGACGCGGATGATCAGAGAACAGGGGCGGCAAAGGCAGTTAAGGGGGGGGGGGAAGAGGCATGTAGCAGCGAGGCTCTCCCAGGTCTGTCTGCTTGGGCCCTCTCAGTAGAAATGTAACACCAATATCAAGGCTTCGAAAGGACGTGACAAGATCAGACAAACAAGCAGAACATGATCAGCAGAGTCCTGCTGCCGCGTGCCCCTCAATTTTTTTGCCCCGTTAGGCTTAGCCTGGTTGCTGACAGTTACCCTTTCCC